ATAAATATAATTTATATTTTTTTTAAATATAATATAATAATATATAAATATAATTAATAAAATAATATAATATATATAATAATAAAATAATTAAATTAAATAATATAAAAATAATTATTATAATATAAAAATATAATATAAATAATAAAATAATTAAATTAAATAATATAAAAATAATTAATATAATATAAAAGTATAATGCAAATAATAAAATAACTAAGCTAAATGGTATAAAAAAGTAATTAATATGGTATAGGAATTTGGTATAGATGTGGCTTACCATATAGTATAGGTGTAACTTAACAGGTGGTGTAAATATGATCCAGCTGCTTAGCTGTGGCTGATGAGTGGCTGAAAATCCTGGGTCCGCACAAATAACCCTCTTAAACTCGGGCACTCGGGCATAATAGCTCGAGAAATAGTATATAATCTCAGAGAAATATGCAGAAAAATATGCAATAGGATCGCATTGTATTTTTCTAGCCAGGGCAATATAATCTGTGACGATGAATCGTCTCTCTGGCCTAATTGGTTACGAGTGCGAGAGAGACACAAAGTAAAAGAGACCAATATAGGTATGAGGTTAAATGAACAAAAGAAAAAGTAAGAGTTAGCTCTAGTGAGGGGAATCGAACCCCATTCTCCTCAATGTGAATGAGGTATGTTAGCCATTACACTATACTAGCCTACACACATTGGCGGCAAGTTTCCGCCAGTACATACGCCGGTGTTGTTATTGGTAGGTATCTTACCTACGGATACTATAGCAAACAAGGATTGGGCGGGCGAAGGCAACTGATTCTTTGAGTACGTAACTTGTCATATGCTGTATATCGTGGCTAAGATGATGGCTTTAGCTGTATTTATTATCATGTTAGTGTACTAGGACTAGGATATTGCCTTTTCAATGAGAAAGCAGCTCATTAGTATTTGGGTTCGCTGATGCTATTCTAATATTGGGTAGCTAGACCCTCGTACCAACAACAAGTTGGTCTAATGGTGAGATGTTTATACAATACAGTACAGTACAATACACATTGTCTACGTCGAGGTAGTCGGGAACGCCTTGAACTTCCCATTATTATCATACTTCGCCTCTGTACGCATCCCGTTAGCCACCACCGGAACGAAAGCTAACAAAAACATAGCGCAAGGGGAACTTACTGAAGAACGTATAGCTCAGCGTGACCTCGTTAATGCCGCGCATATTGAGGTCGTTGAGCATGTCGGGGTCGAGGTAGAAGAAGACGGGCATGTCGACGGTCTCGCCGGCGTTGAGGCGCTGCTCCTCGAAGCAGAAGCATTGGATCTTGGAGAAGTACGGCGCCACCTGCGCGGGCGTGACGCTGTACGTGGCCACGCCGATGATGTCGGTGTCGCTGCGGTTCGTCGCCGTGTAGAAGGCCAGCGCCGTCTCCCCCGGCAGCACCCGCACCTCGCGCTGCTGCGGCACGAACTTCCACGGCAGCACGTCCGACACCGACGCGCTGAATGTCACCCGGATTCGCCGCGCGTCCTTCACCGGGACCACCCGAGAGGCCGGGTCAAAGTCGGCGTCGTCGCTCGAAGGGCCGTGGCCCGGTGCTCGTATGGGTTGCCCGCCCCAGCCGGTCGTTTGGCAGATCTATTTTCCGGACGATAGACTGTTAGCTCCCGTAGTATAGAGCAGTGCGTGCGTGTCACCATAGAGCAAGTCACCGTAAAGAGTGGAAGAGAAGGGGTAGCGCACCATCTTGTACAGAGGCACCGATCCGTACGAGAAAGCGACGGTGCCGAGGATGATGCTAAGCGTGTAAAACCTGTAGCAGCCATTGAGCCTAGATTCCACAATGACGACGAATGGTCGCAGGAGAGGTTATATGTACATCGTCGTCCGGTTCTTGTATTTGTAGTACGCCCGCATCCGTTCCATTGAAGGAGCTTCCGCCGTGGTGGGAGCATGCTGCCTTCTCGCAGCACTATTCGATATTGTCCTACGCGGCGGCAGTGCCTGTGACGGCCTCGCTCGGGAGAGGGCGCGGCGGCACGATGCGCAGGCCCATGATGACGTGCTAGCTTGTAATGACCTCCACGAGGCCTGATATATGCTATTCATCCTAACGTAGATATGTTAGATAGAAAGCTGGGTTTGGGAATGGGTGGTGCCATTTTATCGTGGGGTTATCCCCTGAGGCCCGGCGCTAGCCCAGCGCTAACGTATAAAACTTACAGTGGTTGACAGGGGGGATTCGACCAATCAGACTTTCATATAGAACCAGGGCTTTTTTTAACCCATATATTTTGGTAAGTATTGAAAGTAAGAGGCTTATAGGAAATTAAATTTAATTAAAAATTAATTAAAAAATTAAATATATTCGAATAAAAGGATAATTTAAAAATAATTAATTAATTTTTAAAATAAAATCAAAGTTTTTTTTAATTTATTATTATTAAATTATAAATCTAAATTAAATTAATTATTAATTACATATTTAATTATATATAAATTTAATTATTAAATTATAATTTTATTAGAAAAAAAAATATATTTAATTAAATTATAAAATAAAATTAAAGTTTTTTTTATTTTATTTTTTATATATAAATTATTTTATTAAATTACATTTTAATTATAAAATAACTAATTATTTTCATATATTTTTTTATATAAAATTTTTTTATTTAAATGTAATTTTAATATGTTAATATACATTTCGAATTAATTTTTAAATAAAATCGTAATAATTTATTTAATTAAAATTAAATATATAATTAATTAAAAAATATATAATTTATTAATTAATTTTATAATTTATTATAATATATATTTTTAATTTATTA